CCCTCGCCTTAAATCCGCGGACAGTAAATCGTGAACAATTCGCAAATAATTCGTAAAATTAGTTTACGAATTCGTGTTCACTGTTTTTGGAACTAGATTGATTCGTAAATACGAATTAGCGAACTCGTATTACGAACTGATCCAAAGGTTGAAAATAGATCCACGAATTGACAAACCCATTCTGAAAATTCATTGCGAATCGATGTGTACGCTTATTAGACTACGTAGGGACCTGACACTTTTTCTGAGGTTAAAAATAGATAGATTCGTCTCTTTTCATCGATTCGTATACTTCTTACATCAATTCGCCTTATGCTTACGAATTCGTAAAATATGGCATGTTGTGTAAATACTCACAGTCATCCTCACTGCCCCTCTCCTGCTCGGCAGATGGCCACAAAAGGGAGAGAGATTCCCCTCTGTTTTGTTTCGCACAGATACATCTATTAATATAGTCTATTGTCACATTTTTTGATTAATTCATTCAACTGATCAATTCGTATTCTCCGAATTCGTAAAAATAAGAGCGAAGTGAGGTAAGAAGCATGCAAATCGATGAGAAGAGACGAATCTATCTATTTTTAACCTCAGAGAAATGTGCCCTGTCCCTGACATCAATTCGTATTTTACGAATTCTATTTATGAATTCGTTGGTTATGCTTTGGCATCTATGAATTCGTAAATTCGCATTTTATCGTATTTTTGCTAATTTACGAATTCTTGGGGATCAAAATGATCATTTCACGAATTCGTCGATGGTCGACCAATTCGATTTAGGAATTTGTAGGTACTGGAAATTTCTTTCTTACGCATTGGCAAAAGGAAGAAAAGAGGCAATTTTTTGATTCGTTTTGGATCATTTTTGTTAGTTCGCATCAGTTCGCATTGAATTACGAATTCGCAAAACAATGGTAAAATACGAATTGTTGCATCATTTTTACGCCCAAAACTTGCGATTCATCAATTCGTCTTTAGACACTTTATCCACACTAACGAGTGGCCCATAAAGAATGATCCTCTCAGTATTTTGCTTATAACTTGGTTCGGATTTGTTTCCGAGACTCGATGCTTTTTTTAAAGATGCGCTGCGAAATTCTCTACAAAATCATACCTAAACTATAATTTTAGAACTTCAATCAAGAAAACTAACCGGATTAGACGAAAGTCGAACAAAATGTAAACTTTCTAACGTGAAACTTTTTTCGATAGTTTTTTCGTATACTTCTTACATCAATTCGCCTTATGCTTACGAATTCGTAAAATATGGCATGTTGTGTAAATACTCACAGTCATCCTCACTGCCCCTCTCCTGCTCGGCAGATGGCCACAAAAGGGAGAGAGATTCCCCTCTGTTTTGTTTCGCACAGATACATCTATTAATATAGTCTATTGTCACATTTTTTGATTAATTCATTCAACTGATCAATTCGTATTCTCCGAATTCGTAAAAATAAGAGCGAAGTGAGGTAAGAAGCATGCAAATCGATGAGAAGAGACGAATCTATCTATTTTTAACCTCAGAGAAATGTGCCCTGTCCCTGACATCAATTCGTATTTTACGAATTCTATTTATGAATTCGTTGGTTATGCTTTGGCATCTATGAATTCGTAAATTCGCATTTTATCGTATTTTTGCTAATTTACGAATTCTTGGGGATCAAAATGATCATTTCACGAATTCGTCGATGGTCGACCAATTCGATTTAGGAATTTGTAGGTACTGGAAATTTCTTTCTTACGCATTGGCAAAAGGAAGAAAAGAGGCAATTTTTTGATTCGTTTTGGATCATTTTTGTTAGTTCGCATCAGTTCGCATTGAATTACGAATTCGCAAAACAATGGTAAAATACGAATTGTTGCATCATTTTTACGCCCAAAACTTGCGATTCATCAATTCGTCTTTAGACACTTTATCCACACTAACGAGTGGCCCATAAAGAATGATCCTCTCAGTATTTTGCTTATAACTTGGTTCGGATTTGTTTCCGAGACTCGATGCTTTTTTTAAAGATGCGCTGCGAAATTCTCTACAAAATCATACCTAAACTATAATTTTAGAACTTCAATCAAGAAAACTAACCGGATTAGACGAAAGTCGAACAAAATGTAAACTTTCTAACGTGAAACTTTTTTCGATTTGAACTTTTTCTTCTGTTACTATCTCCACTAAAAAGTATAGCAAAAGTTTAAAAAAAGCAACTATACCCAAAATTTAAAAAATTAATGAAAAAATGCATGACAACGGATAGAAAACTATTATTTTGCTATGGCTTTTGATGTGAAAAAATTTGAAGTGTAACTCTTTTTTTATTCATTAATAGCTAATATCAAAACGTAAGAGATTCAGATGTGTCTGACATCTTACGTTTCAGGATCACTCACAAGTGACAGAGAAAGTTTGGTATTTACACGAGTTACATGTGACTTTTTAACACTTACAAACATCCTCATCCACATCAAAACGACGTTTCTCCGACATCTTTGTTGACAGAGAAGAAGAGTGAAATCCTTCCCTCTGATCAGAAAAAGCTTTAATCAGTTGCTCGCGCATTTTTCTATCATAAACAGATACCTCTACTTCTTCACTACTACCATACACGACAATAGTGTTATCAGTAATAGTAACAGCAGTTCCTTGCAGAAGTGTCACAAACGCTACAACGGGAAGCCAAGCACAATTTTTTGTGTGCAGGAATACCCGGATGAACCGGTCTGAAGGAACAGTTCCAAGGTCATGTATGCCATTTTTCTTCAGAAAACAAGCAAGCTTTGACACCGCATTAGAGTCCAACTTCACCATTGCAGAGAACGAACGGAGAAACTTTCCAAGTGTTTGCGCGGCGCGAAACTGAAACAGTTCGTCATGATCACGATACACATAACCCGATACTACTTCGATCACCTCATTGCTTGCTGTCTTTTCAACCCGATCGTCGAGAGCTTGACATACACTCATGCTGACACTCTTATTCTCATCCCCGAGTGCAACAGTCACCAACCTGTTGATCACGTCATTGGTGCCTGCATTTTCACCCATCTTCTCGAGAGTTTCACATGCACTCCATCTCACATTATCATTTTCATCCCCAAGTGCAGTCAACAAGCTGTTGATCACGTCATTCGTTGCTGCTTTTTCACCCATCTTCCCGAGAGTTTCACATGCGCTTCTTCTGACAACATCATTCTCATCCTAGAGTGCAGTCACCAGCCGCTTGATCACGTCGTTGGTTGCTACTTTTTCGTGGAGATTTCCGAGCGCTTCACATGCACTGCATCTCACATTATCATTTTCATCCCCAACTGCAGTCAACAAGCTGTTGATCACGTCATTAGTTGCTGCTTTTCCACCCATGTTTCCGAGAGCTTTAACTGCACTCCATCTGATCCCACCATTCTCATCCCCAAGCGCAACAGTCATCAGACTGTTGATCACATCAGTGGCTGCTGCTTTTCTACCCATCGCCTCGAGAGCTTCACATGCACTTCTTTTGACAACATCATTCTCATCCCAGAGTGCAGTCACCAGCCGGTTGATCACGTCATTGGCTGCTACTTTTTCGTGGAGATTCCCGAGCGCTTCACATGCACTCCGTCTAACCCCACCATTCTCATCCATAAGTGTAATAGTCATCAAACTGTTGATCACGTCATTGGTTGCTGTTTTTTCACCCATCTTACCGAGAGCTTCACATGCGCTCATGCTGACAGCATCATTCTCGTCCCCAAGTGCGGTCACCAGCCTGTTGATCAAGTCATTGGTTGCAGCTTTTTCACCCATCTTCTCGAGAGCTTCACATGCACCCCTTCTGACAGTATCATCCCCATCCCGAAGTGCAACAGTCACCAACCTGTTGATCACATCGTCGGTTGCTGCTTTTTCGCCGATCTTCTCGAGAGCTTGACATGCACTCCTTCTGACAACAGCAGTTCCATCCCCTAGTGCAACAGTCACCAGGCTGTTGATCACGTCCTTGGTTGCTGCTTTTTCACCCATCTTCTCTAGAGCTTGATATGCACTCCATTTAACATACGGGTCCTGGTCTCCAAGTGCAACAGTGACCAAGCTGTTGATCACGTCATTATTTGCCGCTTTTTCACCGATCTTCCCGAGGGCTTCACATGCACTCATTCTGACTTTCTTATTCTCATCTCCAAGTGCAACAGTCACCAACTTGTTGATTACATGATTGGTTGCTGCCTTTTCGTCCAGATTCATGAGGGTTTCACATGCAGTCATTCTGGCATCCTCATTCTCATCGCACAGTCGGATGAGTAGTAAATTAATCAATGGAGAGGGCGGATTTGAAATATGTAGCCGTGAAATGAATGATAATACATCAGTTTTCGTATATGGATCTTGGATTTCGATGAGTTTGATGAGTGTGTCTTGTATTGCTGGTTCGGATAGTAATGAAACACTTCTTCGTAATGAGGCTCCGACTTGTTTGCATATAACGTCGTGCTTCATGGACACAACAGTTATTATCCACTTTGTTATAGAATCGATCAACATGGTGTGCCGTCGAAATCTTGAAGTACTACCAGTCTCCTCAATGCATGAAATAATTAGTTGTATGTGTCTGAAACCAACCAGATCCAATGGTTCAGATAATATAGCGTCCCAGAATGTATCTATGCATGCCTCAGCATCAGTTTCGATGCAAATACCGGATGCGAAAGTAAGCACAAGAGCGAAACGTTTATTATACTTGTGACGTTTGATAAAGTCGATTGCATTTTGAGGTGTAGGGGAGTTGAGAGCATTAACCAAGTATCGGGCTGCAAAATGTTCTTGAAAACTGAGGTGAAGAAAATAATGAGCTTTTTCTGCTTCGATTCGATTGCCAATTGGCTGATCGTTCAACGATTTTAGAATACCTATATTTAGTAAGTGTGGATGTTCTTCCAGTGAGCATTGAGTCTCTTTTAATGCTTTTTGCAGCACTGTTCGGCTTAGAATTATTGTACTGTTTTCTATTCCATGAAAAGCCATGCTTTCCAAGAATGCCAGTTCCTTGTGACAACGTTTATAGATTTCCTCTTTAGACACGTTAATTTCGATATTTTGCTTTGTTAAATATCGCCGACATAGCCACTCTGTAATCTGATCGTACAGTCCTGTTATTGTTAGTGTTTTTGTTTCTGACCAATCAGTGTTACTCCAAAGACTACAAATCAGTTCTAGATTTACAGGAATATGTGCAACACCCCAAATACTAGGGCTCAGTTTTAAGAAACTTAATAGCTTTTGGCTTGCGACTGATGAATTGTCGATTTTATCTTGAATCTGATTGAAGAAATGTTTCACATACTTCGCAATATTGTTATCTGTAAAACCTGTGATTTCCATTTGTACAGCGTATGATAATGTATTCAAGTATGGCCGAGACGTTAATTTAAGGATGCAAAAACGCAATGTGTGAAATGTTGATAGCTAATGTACGTGCCGAAATAATTCACCTGAAAGAAAAACGCTGAGATTTTGGCAACTTATATCCGTAAGTTGGTTTTTACAATTGAAAGATTTTACTCCTGTAAAATTTAATGTCTCATACAAATCAGTTACCAGCATGGCCAAACGTGATAAAAGTTTATTTTTTTGTCTTCTGCACTATCTGCAGTCGAAAATGACAAAAGTTAAAGCTTTGAACTTGTTATCACAGATAGAGTAGCTTGCCTTGTATGATCGATGAAAATTTCTTTCGATTTGGTTAAGGACCCCTCCCGGGTCAGAAACCTATCTCAGCCCAGGTAGGTCTGATCTAACGAGGGAAGGTCACCAACTGCCTCCTCGCTTTTGAGCTTAAACTCAGTTGACAATCGAAGGTAATCGAACGTGCTGATTCCGAATATCACAATGGTTTTTGCCTGCTTTCGATGTAAAGACCCGTTTTTTAAAGATCTTGGTTTTTCAACCGAAAAACCATTTTCACTAAAAAATTTCCTTGACTTGTCCAAATGAAAGAGCACGTCGTCAAACCTACAGAAAACAATTTTTCAAGGTTCTAAGCGAGATTTTGAGCGAGTCTTCTGCGTCTAAAACTTAAAAAAAGAGGGAAAAACCGCTAATGAGTTTAAAACTCTTGTGTCATTTAGTTTTTACTTCGTAATAAGACACGAGTATTTTTTGTGAATGCCTCCTGTCTGTATAGCTGTTGGTTGTTCGAAAAAGTTCGGCGATGTTGGCAAAGGTCGAGGCAAAGTTTCATTCTTTCGCCTGCCAACTGATTCTATAATATTGTTAAAATGGTGTGATATTTTGTCTATCAATATTAATGATCTTAGCGTGACAAAATCAGAGCGTGTTTGTAGTGAACACTTCTCCACGCGTGATATCACTTACTTAGATGGGACAGCATCATTGGCTGCAGGTGCTCTACGCATTAATTCGAACAAATCAGGTACGTATAGTTTTGTCAAAGATTTCTGTACAATAATCTCATGCTTTTATGCACATAGATGATTAATATTTCAGAAAAAAATGAACATTTGCAGCACAAACTTCACACCAATATATAATATGAAACAATCTGACAATGTCAGACGGCAGCTATATGAACTATCTTATCTCTTCTCTCTTCCATGTTTAACGGACACTTGTGGTTATACGTCTAAGCATTCACCACATATCGTCTGTATAAATAAAAAGAAGAGAAATGTCATCATGACTTTATAGCAAACGAATACAATGGAGAGAAATAGGTTCATATAAATGTTACAAGCATTTTCAGTAGATAATTATAATATTTCAAATGCGTTATAAGTCTAGAATCAATAATAAAGTTTAAAACTAAAACAATTAAATTATAAGCTAAATTATAGTACGAGTTTTCTAGAGATCCTCTAAAAACCAAAGATCACCTGATATATGAATATTGCCAAACCCCTACGTTTGTTCAGTTTTAAATTCTCTATCGATTGATATTTGAACCAGCTTTATATCACCTACCCATCTTGAGTGATTTCAAATTTAGGAAAAATGAAGCTTTTGAATAACTTTTGACTGGAATGCGGTAGATACCTACGGTTTTCGGTATTGGGTAGCCAACACTAGTACGCATCTTTTCACAGCCAGAAATAATTTTTGAAAAAATTTCAAAGACGGATTTTCAGAGAATCTTTGGAAAACCAGGTCGTAGCTCCCAGAAGTGATATAGAAATATGCTGATTTTTTTCGATGACTTTATAGTTCGAACTATCCTCTAAAAAACTGGATCGAAGTGACATCTTCAAAACCCATGGTTCGGGAGTTATGGACGTTTTTCCCTCTGCCTTAGCACCCCTCTGCCGTTAGGTTTGGGACTGACAAAAATGAATGACAATATCGGTTATCGTCTGTGCTGAATATCGTGGCAATGTTAGTTTTCGGAACAAAATGCAGAAATCGGGTGAAAACCTATACTAGGTGAAATAACCCATTTTTGATTATTTTCATCAAAAACTAAAAAATTAATAACTCAGTCAAAATCCATTTAACCTACTTCAGAATGTCAGGATATACTCTATTTAATCTGTAAAGCTCAAAAAAATGTCGAAAAAGCCAACAGAAAATACTCTAGTTTCTAGAAAGGTTGCGCAGAAACCTTCGGAACTAAGAGAATATTTTTTAATGATTTTAAGTGCAAAATCAGAATAAGCGGATAAAATAGAGTATATTTTGATATTCTGAAGTAGGTCAGATGGATTTTGACTGAGTTATGAATTTTTTAATTTTTGATGAAAATAATCAGAAATGGGTTATTTCACCTAGTATAGGTTTTCACCCAATTTCTGCATTTTGTTCTGAAAACTAACATTGCCACGAGATTCAGCACACGCAATAGCCTATATTGTCATTCATTTCTGTCAGTCCCAAACCTAGCGGCAGAGGGGCGCTAAAACTGCGGGAAAAACGTCCATAGCTCCCGAACCATGGATTTTGAAGATGTCGCTTGGATACAGTTTTTTAGAGGACAGTTCGGACTGTAAATTCATCGAAAAAAATCAGCATATTTCTAAACCTCCCCCTGCATAATAGAAGCCCTCCCTGGAGAGGTCGATGTGAAAAATTTATTAAAAGCTTCCTCATTTGAAAAAATTTTGAAATTTTCGGAAAGTGTTATTAGTATTTCTGAAGTAAAAACTGTCAAATTTTCAGGATTTGAAGGTAAAAACTCGTTAAATTTTACATACCAGCACAAGAATCTCAAAATCCTCTTGAAATCCCTTCGAAACGCTCTGAAAAACTCTGGAAAACCCTAAAAGTTGTTACAAAATTTTTGTACGTGAAACCCCTGAAAATAGTGGGACCTATAGAAGCCCCCCCTCCGGGGCTTCTGTTATGCGGGGGGGGTATGTCACTTCTGGGAGCTACGACCTGGTTTCCCAAGGATTCTCTGATAATCCGTCTTTGAAATTTTTTCAAAATTTCTCAAAGCCTATTTGTCAAAATCTAGACTTAATGTAAATTTTCTAAGAGCTCATGAAATTATTCAGAGTTTCAGTGATTTTTCGCTGTGCTCAATCAAAGCTCTTACCGATGACATAGTCCTGATGCGAAAGCTTTTTACTTCTCTTCTTTAAAACACTTTATCACAGCTGTCTCAAAGCTGCAGCTTTAGTGGTTTTATAAAAATCTTTATGTAGTTGTTTGTTAGAACCAGTACTGTAAACCACATATGTACAGAACTTTCTATACAACGATGCTTATGTTTAAGACTATTTGCTAGTTTTTGGTATTTTCTCACTTTGAATATAAAACTGTTTTTCCCGACCATGGTTCCCATCAGAGACCGGGCGCCCGTTCCCAGTCTAGTCCGGTTGAGACTTATCAACCGTCCGGTTGGACCGATTGACTTGGCTTGTAACTAGAAAATATGACAGAAAAAAATAGCATGTTTAAATCGAACAGATAGCAAAAGATTTTAATTCGCGAAGTGGACAAAATAAGAATAAAATCATAGCCAACACTACTTCTTTTGAACAGAGAGTAAACGAACATGTCAATAGAAATATAAAATCTCTCTTCCTTACTTTGTCTTTGAAGAGAAATAACGTTCTATATACATATACCCAGGTCCATGATTAAGATCATCCTATACGGTCGTATACGTCAAATTACGGCGACGTAATTTGATGCATACTATAGTATTTGACTTTTGAAGGAAAAAACACGATGTTCCTGTGGAAAAACATGGATTTTTGCGGGGGAAGAGACGAAGTTCTTGTCGATAAACATGCAATTTCGCAGGAAAAGGGTAAAGATCTTCTGCAGACACATTGAGTGTTTTATTAAAAAAAGCTTCTTGTGGGTAAACACGCAGTTTCGCAGGAAAAAACCCGAATTTGTTGTGGAGAAACATCGAGTGTTTCAGAAAGAAAGATGAAGTTCTCTTGGCGAAACATGGACTTTTGGGGAAAAAAGACGATATTCTTGTGCAGACACATTGAATGTTTTATGGAAAAAGGTGAAGTTCTTCTGGAGAAACATGCAGTTTCGCAGGAAAATAGACGAATTCATTGTGGAGAAACGTCGCGTGTTTCACGAAAAAAGATGAAGTTCTTGTGGAGAAAGATGGACTTTTGCAGGAAAAAAGGTGAAGTTCTTGTGCCGACAAATTGAGGGTTTTATTGAAAAAGATTCTGGTTTAGAAACACGCAGTTTTGTTGTGGAGAAACATCGAGTGTTTCAGAAGGAAAGATGAAGTTCTTGTGGCGAAACATGGACTTTTGCGGGAAAAAGGACAATGTTCTTGTGCAGAAACAGCGAGTGTTTCAAGAAAAAAGGTGAAGTTCTTCTAGAGAAACATGGACTTTTATAGGAAAAAGAGACGACGTTCTTGTGGAGAAACACCTTGTGTTTCAGATAAAAAGATAAAGTTCTTGGGGAGAAACCTGGACGTTTGCAGCAAAAAAATAGAAGTGGTTGTGTAAAAGATCGAGTGTTTCATGAAAAAAGGTGAGGCTTTTGTGGAGTTCTTTTGGAGAAACTGGTACTTTCGCACGAAAAAAGAGAAGTTCTTGTGGAGTAACATCGGGTGTTTCAGATAAAAAGATAAAGTTCTTGTGGAGAAACATGGATTTTTGCAGCAAAAAAGGAGAAGTGCTTGTGCAGAAACGTCGAGTGTTTCATGAAAAAGGGTGAAGTTCTTGTCGAAAAACGTGGATTTTTCTAGGAAAAAAGGCGAAGTTCCGGCGGAGAAACATCTAATCTTTCACGGAAAGGGCTGAAGTTCTTGTGGACAAACATGGGCTTTTGCTGGAAGAAAGACGAAGTTCTTTTGCAGAAACATCTAGTGTTTCAGATAAAAAGATAAAGTTCATGTGGAGAAATATGTACTTTTGCAGGAAAAAAGACGAAGTTCTCGTGCAGTTCCGTTATAACAAACGGAAGTGATTTATTGTTTCAGAAAAATTGATAAGCGCAGAAAAAAGCATGACAAACAATATTTGGTATGCTCAAATGTGATTGGCATGAATGAGCTACGTTGCCGCACGAGAAAAGGAAATATGTTTAGTAGAATCCTTTTTATTGTTATTGCTTTAAAATATTGGTCACAATCCTACTTCTTTTACTCGTGTACAAATATCATAGTTCATATTTGCAGATGTGTTTTTCATCTGTGGTCGACTTAACATCTGTAAATGCATATTTGTATAAGATTGTAAATAATTTTTTAATGGCATATTTGTTCGTTATCTGTATGTTTCAGCAAAGTATTCTTTATACCCTTTATCGGAATTTTACAATTTTACACCTTTATTAGTTTCTGTAATTGGAAGTATATGTAATTTGGTTTTACACTCTCTTCCGGAATAGAATGATAAAACTTATTCTAGATTAAAATAATAAAAGTATCGAAGAAGGATGACAAATAATACTCGGTATACTCAAGTGTGATTGACATCACGGAACTACGTTGATGCAGAATAAAAAGAAATATGTTTATTACAAACCGTTTTACCATTTTTACGAGAAAGCAGAGACTGAAACGGAGCTCATCTGATGGGATTCAGGTGAAATAAAAAATTATAACGGATGAATACATCGGTCGCTTAGTATTTTGCTCATATCTCTGTTGGATTTTATATTCTAAGTTTTATTGATTTTTTAGATTAGATTCACATCGGATGAAAAGGTGAAAAACCGTTTTAGATGCGCCCACGGATGTCCTGCTAGACAAGAAGACCAATTCCATCATCGTCTGCGATAAAGGGAATCAACGTGTGGTGAGATGGTCACTTCCAAGTTTTACTACTATAGGCGAAGAGTTAATTGACAACATTGACTGTGTCGGATTGGCAATGGACGACGAAGGTGCTCTCTACGTCACTGACGTAAAGAAACATGAAGTACGACGATATGCCAGAGGAAGCACCACCGGCACGCGCGTAGCTGGTGCAAACAGAGGCGGAGATGGTCTCCATCAACTAAATAACTCTCAAAATGTGGCAGTGGATAGTGAAGGCACGGTCTACGTGTCAGACACTAACAATCATCGTGTGATGAAATGGATGAAAGGGGCGAAAGAAGGCATCCGCGTAGCGGGTAGCGGAGAAGCAGGTGGTGAATTATATCAATTAAAAGAGCCCACTGATCTCCTCTTAGACAAGAAGAACAATTCCATCATCATCTGCGATTTCGGAAATAGACGTGTGATGGAATGGTCTCTTCAAAGTGGTACATCTAGAGGTAAAACAATCATTAACGTGTATTGTTTGGGTTTGGCGATGGACGATGAAGGTGCTATCCGCGTCACTGACGCAGAGGCACGTGAAGTGAGACGATATACCAAAGCGTACACTGAGAGTATCGTCGTAGCTGATAGAAACGGTGAATTGAATGATTTTTATCGACTCGGCGTGCCTCACAACGTTGCAGTGGATAGTGAAGGCACCGTCTACGTGTCAGACAGTAGGATGCGGCGGGTGATGAAATGGATGAAGGGGTTAGGCTCTGGGATCATCGTGGCGGGCCACGAAGTAACAGAGACACAATTACAACTCCCCTCTGATGTCCTGTTCGACAAACAGACCAATTCTATCCTTATCTGCGACGAAGCAAAGCGACGTGTGATGGAATGGCCTCTTCAAAGTTTTACTACTCTAGGCGAAGGGTTCATTGACAACATCGACTGTGTCGGATTGGCAATGGACGATGAAGGTGCTCTCTACGTCACTGACGTACGGAAACACGAAGTACGACGATATGCCAGAGGAAGCCCCACCGGCACGCTCGTAGCCGGCGGCAACGGAAAAGGAGATGGTCTCCATCAGCTAAACAACTCTCAAAACGTGGCAGTGGATAGTGAAGGCACGGTCTACGTGTCAGACACTGACAATCATCGCGTGATGAAATGGATGACAGGGGCGAAAGAAGGCATCCGCGTAGCGGCTAACGGAGAAGCAGGTGGTGAATTATATCAATTAAAAGAGCCCACTGATCTCCTCTTAGACAAGAAGAACAATTCCATCATCATCTGCGATTTCGGAAACAGACGTGTGATGGAATGGTCTCTTCAAAGTGGTGCATCCGAAGGCAAAGCAATCATTGACGGAGTGTATTGTTCAGGATTAGCAATGAACGATGAAGGTGCTATCCGCGTCACTGACGCAGAGGCACGTGAAGTGAGCCTGTATACCAAAGAGTACACTGAGATTATGGTCGTAGCTGGTGGAGAAGCAGGATTGGATGCTTGGACGATAATATTCAATCTACTCCATCACGTCAAACCTGGTGGAAACGGAAAATGGGATGAACTCAATCAGCTCAACCAGCCTCGCGGCGGATAGTGAAAGCACAGTCTACGTGTCAGACACTGGCAATCATCGCGTGATGAAATGGATGAAAGGGGCGAAGGAAGGCATCCGCGTAGCGGGTAACGGAGAAGCAGGTGGTGAATTGTATCAATTAAAAGAGCCCACTGATCTCCTCTTAGACAAGAAGAACAATTCCATCATCATCTGCGATTTCGGAAACAGACGTGTGATGGAATGGTCTCTTCAAAGTGGTACATCCGAAGGCAAAGCAATCATTAACCGAGTCTATTGTTCAGGATTAGCAATGAACGATGAAGGTGCTCTCTACGTCACTGACGTAAACATACATGAAGTGCGACTATATGCCAGAGGAAGCACCACTGGCATGCACGTAGCGGGTGGAAAGGGGCAAGGAGATGGCTCCCGTCAACTCAACGCGCCCGCACACATCGCTGTCGATGGTAAAGGCACGGTCTATGTGTCAGACACTGGCAATCATCGTGTGATGAAATGGATGAAAGGGGCGAAAGAAGGCATCCGCGTAGCGGGTGACGGAGAAGCAGGTATTGAATTATATCAATTAAAAGAGCCCACTGATCTCCTCTTAGACAAGAAGAACAATTCCATCATCATCTGCGATCAAGGAAATGGACGTGTGACGCGATGGCCTCTTCAAAGTGGTAGAACTGAGGGCAAAACAATCATCTACGAAATATATTGTTCGGGATTGGCAATGGACGATGAAGGTGCTCTCTACGTTACTGACCTGGAGACACGTGAAGTGAGACTATATACCAAAGAGTACACAGAGAGTATCGTCGTAGCTAGTGGAAACGGAAAATGGGATGTACTCAATCTATACAACCAGCCTTTCAGCGTTGCAGCGGATGGTGATGGCACGGTCTACGTGTCAGACACTGACAATCACTGTGTGAGGAAATGGATGAAAGGGGCCGAGGCTGGCATCATCGTGGCGGGCTTTGATGTAAAACGTAATCAGTTAAATCAATTAGATGCGCCCACGGATGTCCTGCTAGACAAGAAGACCAATTCCATCATCGTCTGCGATAAAGGGAATCAACGTGTGGTGAGATGGTCACTTCCAAGTTTTACTACTATAGGCGAAGAGTTAATTGACAACATTGACTGTGTCGGATTGGCAATGGACGACGAAGGTGCTCTCTACGTCACTGACGTAAAGAAACATGAAGTACGACGATATGCCAGAGGAAGCACCACCGGCACGCGCGTAGCTGGTGCAAACAGAGGCGGAGATGGTCTCCATCAACTAAATAACTCTCAAAATGTGGCAGTGGATAGTGAAGGCACGGTCTACGTGTCAGACACTAACAATCATCGTGTGATGAAATGGATGAAAGGGGCGAAAGAAGGCATCCGCGTAGCGGGTAGCGGAGAAGCAGGTGGTGAATTATATCAATTAAAAGAGCCCACTGATCTCCTCTTAGACAAGAAGAACAATTCCATCATCATCTGCGATTTCGGAAATAGACGTGTGATGGAATGGTCTCTTCAAAGTGGTACATCTAGAGGTAAAACAATCATTAACGTGTATTGTTTGGGTTTGGCGATGGACGATGAAGGTGCTATCCGCGTCACTGACGCAGAGGCACGTGAAGTGAGACGATATACCAAAGCGTACACTGAGAGTATCGTCGTAGCTGATAGAAACGGTGAATTGAATGATTTTTATCGACTCGGCGTGCCTCACAACGTTGCAGTGGATAGTGAAGGCACCGTCTACGTGTCAGACAGTAGGATGCGGCGGGTGATGAAATGGATGAAGGGGTTAGGCTCTGGGATCATCGTGGCGGGCTTTGATGTAAAACGTAATCAATTAAATCAGTTAGAAGCGCCCACGGATCTCCTGTTAGACGAGAAGATCCATTCGATCATCATCTGCGATAAAGGGAATCAACGTGTGATGCGATGGTCACTTCGAAGTGGTACAACTGAAGGCGAAGAGATCATCCGCCTCGTCGATTGTGGCGGATTCGCAATGGACGATAAAGGTGCTCTTTACGTCATTGACGTAAGTAGAAATGAAGTGAGACAATATCTCAAAGGTTGTATCACGGGCATGATCGTCGCTGGTGGAAACGGAAAAGGATATGGCCCCCATCAACTTCACAGGCCGGAATACATCGCTGTGGATAGTGAAGGAACGGTCTACGTGTCAGACACATACAATTATCGTGTGATGAAATGGATGAAAGGGGCGAAAGAAGGCATGATCGTGGCGGGTCGTCGGGAACATGGAACAGAGGCCATACCGTCCTTTGTTCCTAAAGGGCTTGTGGTCGATAGTAAAGGCACTCTTTACGTTGCAGACTGGGGGAATGGTGGAGTCACACGTTGGCGGAAGGGTGCAGAGGATGGCGACATCATCATCGGTGGAAATGGACAAGGGCCAGGAGCGCATCAGTTGTCACGTCCCGTCGGTTTAGCCTTGGATGTTTATGGTAATCTCTACGTTAGCGACTTACTGAATTTTCGTGTGCAACGTTTTTCGAGGGAGAGGGTGTTTGATAAATAATGATAAATCGAAGGAGAAGAAATTAAAGCGGAAAAACATAATAAAGAAAAAGGAAAGACTGACCCGATTTAATGAAAACTGTTTTTTTTGTGATTTTTTCATTTTTTTGTATACTAATAGGAGTACAGTAGATCAAAGGAAGCGCAAAGGGTGAAAAGAGAATAGAAATGATACGGGCGTAATAAATGCTTGATTAAATAACAAAATCGTTTTTTGAGGCGAGGGCGCATAGATCATTCAGGTTCAAATGACATCCGAAAATTCATTTTAAGCTCTAAGATCGATGAAAATATTCGATCATCACCTACATCATACATTTCTCGTTATTTTTTCTTTTCAAAATGTTTGTATATTTCCAATTTTTCTCCGCTTTCCTTAATTTTCATTTTTAATTTAAGAATTCATTAAGTTTCTCAGAATTCAAAGAATATTTTATCACGAACCCCATCATTCTCAATTTCCTTCCTAACAAATATTTCTGTCTTCTCACCCGAAAAATCGAGTTTGTACTGCAATGAATTATACATTTTTCTGAATTTTCCTTTTGCTACTGCTCCAGACAGCAGCCGCCTTCAACGGCATGCGCTTCTAAAACAAAAATTAGATTGATAGTTCTAATAGAGCCATTTTGTCATCACAAAATGCTGATCAGAGGTGGGATCGGTTCGAAATTTTTTGGAACCAAACCGAGTCGAACCAAAAAACTCTTAAACCGAACCGAAAAAGTTTCAAACCGAATCGAGTTAAAACTTAAAATAAGCTAACGAATGTGTTAGAGCACTAATTTTAGATGGGATCAATTCGCATTTTTTTCGAACCCAACCGGACCGAAAAATTCTCAAACCGAATTGACCTAGTTTTTTAAAAGTTCAAACGAACCAATTCCACCTCTGATGCTGATTTTAGCGAGTGAAAGAAATTTTTCGCTGCGCGGCACTCGAAAAGTCATGATAGAATAACCAGCGGAAAACGATTTTTACACTTGTGACGGAAAGACTTATATCGCCCTCGCCTTTGGCAGGCAACTTTTCGTTGTGCACACATCTGTTCAAACATTTTAGGACAGTTCTACCCCCCCCCCCTCCCGAATCCTAGACGCTTCGCGCAGCCTCTGGAAATATGCTTCGATGTTATCTTTTGATCAGTTTAATTTTCCTACAAATGTCGCAAGTGATATTCATGACGTCAAATTTAATCATTTTTACCAACTGTGGATATTTCTTCAGATTTTCCAGTGGTATCAACTATATGTTGATTAATCAGACAAAACTTCTTTTCATTCAGAATCCTCAACAAACTTTTATATTTGATTTTTTGACGTTCTTCACCTCAGCTCTTCCCACACGCTCTTCATTTCCGACTTCACATCGCTTTCCTTGAGGGTGTATCACAAGTGTCGAGCAATTGTGTGCATCATGTTGCATTTCTTTACTTATGGACTCCCGACGATCCTCGACTTCAAGCTGAGTTCGTTCTCGATTTCAATCCATACTCTATCGCTAAGCATATATATTTTCCTATGTCTCTGAGTTCCATTTTGTTTCTCTGATCAGTTAATTCTAATATTTCTTCAGATCGCCACTTATTTTATTAGACGTCTAAAAGCTTTCATTCCACTTTTTCTTCCTAGATCATTCAGGTTCAAATGACATCCGAAAATTCATTTTGAGCTCTGAGATCGATGAAAATATTCGATAATCACCTATATCATAAGGAGAATTTGAGAAGTACGGTTCAACTCATGAAGCGATGCTCACTATTGGCTTCAGCATTGAGGTCTAACGAGAGAACGTCCCCAACTATCAAATCGGTTTTTGATCGAGTATATGCTCAAATGATAGATCTTAATGAGCTATGAAACACCCTACAAGGATTTGGTTTTCCAGGCCATCTGAGCAGAGATACACGATTATGACTATTACTAGTTTTGCTATACTATTGTACTCATATATTCGATAACTTGACTAAACATGCTCCGATTCGGCTCAAATGTATATCACTAGTAAAGCACTCAGTACTGATTAAGATGCCAGAGTTTGAAGATAAATCGATGCTTTTTATCAGAGATATGAATTTGTTTGGCATATTGATTGATTATTAAAAAACAGCATGTAGTCTTGCTCACAGATGTAAGTATTGATTCATCCGATATTTTCAGCACATATGCATTTTATAGATAGGATGCGTGTGGAAAAAATTTGTTGGAGCCTTAGTTAATAAGAAATTTGACATGAATTCGCGTTCTTTTCGCTATAGAATATATGGTATTGATATACTAAGCTTAATTTCGTAAAGATGTCAAATATGTTGCATGTTTATTTCACTGACCGAAATAAAATCTTTTTCTCGTTTGTCTATGTCATTTGCATAGGATGTGGGTCTCTCCGCTAATCAGCCATACCCACACCCACATACCAACCTACACCCTTTTCACACGCATGCTATCTATAAAATGCGTGTGTGCTGAAAATATCAGGTGAATCAATACCTGCATCTGTGAGCAAGATCACATGCTGTTTTTTAATAATCAATCAATATGTCAAACAAATTCATATCTTTGATAAAAAAACATTGATTTATCTTCAAACTCTGGCATCTTAATCAGTACTGAGTGCCTTACTACTGATATAAATGAGAATACATCCTATTCTGCGATGTTGAACATTTCGGAATCAGTTCCACCCCTGGAATCATTTCCGCCCAATTCCGGAATTGAAAGCGATTCCCGGAAGTCCGTCCGCCCTCACCCTAATGCTCTGTGATGTGGTCAACGGTTAATCACTGGAATAAGTAAGTAATTCCGGGACGGAATTCCGGAACTGATCCAATGATTGATTGGGCATAGTTAATGCATTTATCTTAGATATTGTACTTTCGGAAGTGGAAGGAATTCCGGTTCGATTCAATTCCCGAAATTCCAGGAATTGATGGAACTGGATTATTGTTGATTGAGCCACTAGTGTTGACTGATTATCCAGTCCTCGGAATTGGATGGAACTGATTCTGCAATGTTCAACATTGCGGAATAGGATGGCTGCTCATATAAATTTGAGCCGAATCAGAGCATGTTTAGTCAAGTTATCGAATATATGAGTACAGTAGTATAGCAAAACTAGTAATAGTCATAATTGTATATCTCTGCTCAGATGGCCTGGAAAACCAAATCCTTGTAGGGTGTTTCATGGCTCATTAAGATCTATCATTTGAGCATATACTCGATTAAAAAGCGATTTGACAGTTGGGGACATTCCCTAGTAAGCATTGTTTACCTTGTACAGACATTTCTATCACTGTAGTTGTCCTAACGTGTTTGAATATGCAAATTTTCTGTGTAAGGGAAGTTTTTTCTTGATCATATGTTGTATTCAGCCATTAACTCGTTCTTTTTAGTGTTTGCATGTCTTCTGAAACTTCAGCAGTTCGAACTTCACCGAAGTCGAGCGCCTCTCCTATATGGGTACTTTTGTTAATGTCGTGATATCTATTATTTCTTTGAGAAAAACGACTTTTGAACATCCACTGAATTATCACTCTTCGAATCTTCCAGAATTTCTAAGACATTCATCAATTAGGCCATAGTATTTCCTGGGACATGTTTTATTTATTTTCTGAAAATCGGAATCCAACAAAATCCATTGAGCTGCCACTTGGATTCTAGAGAAAGTTTATATTGTCTATGCTACATAAAGAATAGTATTTCTCATTTATATCGATTCTATTTGAAATATTTTTTGCTTCTCGAAGAAGGGTCTTTACTCCTTGTACCATCGTCACCACTTCATTCTAGGGTTTTTTGAATATTTTCAAACGAATCATATTTGTCTATACTATAGATGATTCCCTTAAAACTATGTACTAAAACGGAATTCCACTATATCCATCCGAATTCCATATCGGAATTGTTTCGATAGCCTTCGGATTTTGATAATGAGTGGATTTCGTTCAATCTCTATTAAACAATCACGACTGTCTCTAATCACGAAAGCTTTTCTTCAACCGTAATTCTTTCCTACGCTAGACATTCCCGTAGATGCCAAATGGATACGAAGCGGTGTCACTGTTCTTGATGTATCCCATACGACTCTTGGTCTCGCCATTGATGAGCACGATGGCACAGTATATGTAGCTGGTATCGGAGAAAACCGAATAGTTGCCTCAACGCCAATTGACACTAATGGCCGTGTAGTGGCTGGAGGTCCAAGTACAGGCAATCACCTATATCAGTTGATGTTCACCGCCGATGTTTTGTTGGACGAGAAGAACCATTCCATCATCATCTGCGATTCCGGAAACCGACGTGTGATGCGATGGTCTCTTCAAAGTGGTACAACTGAAGGCAAAACAATCATCAACAAAACCGATTGTTGTGAAAGAAATTTTTCGCTGGTCGGCATTCGAAAAGTCATGATAGAATAACCAGCGGAAAACGATTTTTACACTTGTGGCGGAAAGACTTATATCGCCCTCGCCTTGGGCAGGCAACTTTTCGTTGTGCACACATCTGTTGAAACGTTTTAGGACAGTTCTAATCCCCGCCCCCTCCCCGAATCCTAGATGCTTCGCGCAGCCTCTGGAAATATGCTTCGATGCTATCTTTTGATCAGTTCTATCTATTGTTGGGGATGGGCAGTGGACGATGAATGTGCTCTCTACGTCACTGACGCGGAGGCACGTGAAGTGAGACGATATACTAAAGAGTACACTGAGATTATGGTCGTAGCTGGCGGAAACGCAGTATTGGATAAACTCGATCGATTGAATCTACTCATTGACGTAAAGAAACATGAAGTGCGATGATATACCAAAGAAAACACCGAGAGTATCATGGTAGCTGGTGGAAACGGAAACTGGGATGAACTCAATCTATTCAACCAGCCTCTCAGCGTTGCAGCGGATGGTGATGGCACGGTCTACGTGTCAGACACTGACAATCATCGTGTGATGAAAGGGGCGAAAGAAGGCATCCGCGGAGCGGGTGACAGAGAAGCAGGTGATCAGTTATATCAGTTGAACATGACAATTGATATCCTGCTGGACAAGAAGAACCATTCCATCATCATCTGCGATCAAGGAAACCGACGTGTGATGCGATGGTCTCTTCAAAGTGGTACAACTGAAGGCAAAACAATCATCAACAAAATCTATTGTTGGGGATTGGCAATGGACGATGAAGGTGCTCTCTACGTCACTGACGTAAAGAAACATGAAGTAAGACGATGTACCAAAGAGTACACTGAGAGTGTCGTATGTGTAACGAACTTGTATCCGTTGGCAGGATCGGTGCTCTAGTGAAGTGGTATTTAGGTACCGAAAAATGAGTTTTATTGCAAAATGTCGGTTTTAGAAAGAGTATTTTTTTACTTGTTTCACTTTTAAATACTTTTCACAATTATAAAAGGGTGTCTGAAGAACCTATCATCAAAACTATGCATTTAGGTTTTCTCTATCTTATAATCACGTTTAGCGGGCAACGTTAGTCATATTCTGAGATTTTGAGGTTGTTCTGATGTGTTTTGACTGAATATTGAATTTGTTAATATTAGGTGAAAACAGCCTGAAAACCCTTATTTTCGTAAAACTGGCTTTTCGGCAGATTTTTAAAACTTTTTCCAAACGCAGATATTACCACGAGACTCAGCATGGTCGATTACTTATAGTCGATCCGTATTTAAGGCTATCACGAGTCACCAGGTGTCAGTCCTGGAACTCGTCGAAAATCTGATACAACGCCCGAATCACAGAAAATCAAGGTCTAGCTTTACTCCCATTTTGAAGAGAACACCCCGGGCTATCAGTCCATAAGATAAAATGAATACATTCCTGTGTGAATTTGGGAAAGTCCAAGCTAGTTTTTCAAAGATCCTCTAAACAACCCGTTTTAGAAGTTTTTTCAAAATTTGCTTTTGCTTACGGAAATATGTAGTCAGTTGTGGCTATCTCATCTCTGTACAGAGAAATTCAAAGAATATCCGTGCCCACCATGTTCTGGAACGGATAGTAGAATCAATCGATTCTGAGTACAAAAAGTATAAAAAAGAGACGCATCTCGAAAGCGCCGAGAGTAATAAGATAAGAGTGGTGTTGATGGTAGGTGATCAAATGTGGTAAATAAATAAATCTATTTATCACGTTCATAAATCAGTCCAAAATTCGATTCTTGTACTTTACAAAAGGGTTCTTTGTTCAGTTTTTATACTACCAATAATTTTGAAATGAAGAAATTTTTTTGTTAGGTTAGAAAAAAAATAACATGAAAGAGTTCGTTGCTGCTTTTTTTAAATATAATGCCATAATAGAGTATTTTCAAGTGTCATTAGAGCTGCGACAAATAGCGATTTTCTTTTCTTTTCTTATTTCTTATATTTTTCATTTTCTTTTCTTACGAATGATGATCTCGCCTTTTGTCTTCAAACATTTGTTGACGAACAAAAAATTCTTCTTGAATCGACGCGTCTTAAACAAGAAAAAGCGTATGTTAAAGGGACATTTGTAAAACATGAGAACACCCACTAACACCCAAAATTTCCCGAAATTAAAATCTGAAATAGCCAATCGATAGAGCTCGTCGAGCTGAGTCTACTAACACCCACTAACACCCAAAACAATCA